ATATGTAAAATTAGGAGCTGAACAAGTTTACTTAAGACACCAAAGTTGGTTATCTTAATAAAATAACCAGGTATTGATGATTTTAGTACTGATAGATTTTTAGTTATTTTTGTATAAAAAGGATTTACAGAAAGAGTTTTTTTTCATTGGATATTTGATATTATTATATATAGAGTTTAATTAGTAAAAATTCTTTTACAAGGTTGAAATTGTTATTGAAAATATTTTTTTGTAATAAAAATAATAATAAAAATTATAGCTGCAACTTAGTTCATTTTTTGATCAGCTTCTAATTAGCTAAATAAAAAATGATTTAGCTAAAAAACAGTTAAACAAAAAAACAGCTTAGCTTAAAAATAGCTCAGTTTTGTTTTAGTAAGCTATTAGCTGGTTAGAGTTAACTGTTTTTATCTCTAGCTGCACAGTATATTTTTATTATTTAGTGTGATTATATAATTCTATTGTAGCATTTAATTTTTAATAATTACAATATTTTCATCAACAATTTTTATTTATATAAATTCTAACATGTATTAGTAAAATAATTTGGTATTGTAAAATAATTTTTTATATATTGCCCACTGTTGTCAACAGTTTCTCCTATTTATATAAAGTTTTTTTGTAAACATTTGATATAGTAATATTTACAAAATATTACTATTAGTATATCTCTTAAACTGTTTGAAATTTAGGACAAATTTGTCTTGAATGTTACTATAAAAATACTTTTAATTTATTTTTTCAAACAATAGATATATTTAAGTAAAATTTTTTTTGGTAATATTTAAAAACAAGAATTATATTTTTACAAATTTATATTTAAATTATAAGACAAAAAATTTAACTTGATTATAAGTTAAAAAATATGCAAATTTTTTAAAACTTTATAACTAAAAAAAATAATTTAAATTTTTTTAATAAACTCTTTAAATATTAATTTTAAACCTATTGTGAGCCCAATTTTTAGGATAATAGATAACTGAATCGAAGTGATAATTCTGACTTAATTTGAGATTATACAAAAATAGGAGAAATATTACTTATATTACATTATTTCAGTGACTTTGTTTACATATAAGTTAAATAAAATATTAGCAATTTATTAAATTTAGTTAGGATATAGAGTATAAAAAATATATTACATTTATGAGAAAAATTAATTGCAAATATAAATAAAATGTTTACTATAAAATATAAGACATTTTTGTCTTAAAAAAAAAATAATTCCTGTATTTCTAACAACAAAATTCTTTAATAACAATAAATTCTCTAATTATAATAAATACCTGACCTCTAATAAAAGTAAAAGTCTATCCTATACAAACTAATAAACTATTACTAAATCCTATTGTTACTTCTATTGTTTGCCAAATAGCACCACTAAACTTGCTGTTGATTGCTTATCACAAGTCACATAACTGAACTATAATGAAATAGAGGAAGTTCCATTCCTGATTCAACAAAGAGTAATCCTGGGTTGAGGCATACAAGAGAAGACAAGAAAAGACAAAGGTTAATAGAAGATTCAGTTAAAGAAAAAGACTTAAGAAAGAAGATTAGTACTTACTATGTATAAAATATCAGCCAAATCTAACATGTCTATTTTGACTTAACCATTATAGGTTATGTGAGAGTTGGATTAGTTTAGTAACAGACTTGCCAATTCTAGAATCATACTATAATTATTTAATAAATATTCTTATTTAAATAAAGAATAATAATATTCATTATTATGACTTTTGTGATTTACTTGTAAAAATTAAAACTTGTATTAAAAATAAATAAATATTTTATAGATAGAAACATATAAAATTTGAAAATTTTAAAGAAAAATTTTGTAATAAAAAATTCAAAATAAAAAAGGTTAAACTTTTATTATCCTTAACTTCTTAAAAAATTTAAAAATTTTTTTTAATAAACTTATTAAAATATATCTTAAAATATATTTTTTACTTAGAAAGTATATAACTAAAATCAAAATTTTCAAATTTCATTTTAAAAATAAGGTTTTTAAAAAAATTTCAGAGCAAATTTGCAGGATAAACAGTTTAAGAGATAACCTTTTTATATCGAGTGCCACTTGTATTTAATTTGTAAAATTTTTTATTTTATAGGAAAAAACTAAAAAATAAAAAATACATTTTATTGCATTGGAAACGCCTTGACACTATCTTCATTTTTGTTATGCAGACCACCACCATTCGGATTGATGTCCATAATATCTACTTTTTCACCAGTTAAAAATCCTTCATTTATATCAAGACCCAGTTTTTTTGCAAGTTTCCGAAAAGCATCTTGAATTGAGTCAACCTATTTAATGAGTTAGTAGATTAATTGTTATCTATGGTAGATTAATTGTTATCTATGACAAATATTAAAAACAAAAATATGCAGATATAGATACTACCTTCTTTGAATCACGTGAAAATATGCGAACAATTTTTTCTTCGTATTGTTCAGGAAAGAGATGACTAATTCTTTCATGTTTAAGACGAAATACTTTAGTGCGATCTTTATTATAAAATTTAACATATTCCACGGGATTATTTTTCCCTTTTGTGTAATTCAAATTTTGCCAATCGAGAATTATGTCATCTTCACTTAAATGTATACTTCCATTGTTGTGATGACTAGCAATTTCACGTTCATTAAGATTTTCCTATAAAAATTGACAAAAAACAATATGAAGTTCATGAAAATATTGTGCAATGAAATAAGTAAACACATTACATTCGTAATGTCTATCCTATTATGTGGAATTATACACTCGTTCACAAACTTGTATAATTTTCTCTGTCTAATCCGTTTAATGATTTCTTTTGATTCTTTCAATTCCTATACATGATCATTTATTAGAATATCAAGTAGTTACTATTAATAAATGACACCTAAATATCAAATACCGGTTTTTCTGAATATTCTATTTCATATAAAATAGAATCATTTAACTTGATATACTCTTCAGGATCAAATATTACGTTCTCAAAATGGTATATTGGATTTGCTTTCAGAAGCGCGTCTCTCATCATAAAATTAAGTGCTCTAGCTAACACGTTAATATTGATTAGTAATTGGTCAATCATAACTATAGTGACCATAAAGACAACAAATTTTTTTGTGACAACTTACTAACGCGATGGGTATATACTCTCTTGTATAAAGAATATCGCGTGTGAAACATTTCATAAATGTTAAAGTATTCCTTATGATGGTAAACTATCTGGTTGTCTATGACATAAGAAAATTTCATCAATCGTGAAGGGTCAAATAATGAATCCATTCCTAAATAATAACAGTCTCGTGCGAGGTAATCAAATTTGTCAACATCCACAGAGTTACGTTTATTGGCAACAATGTCAAATAAGTACGGGGATCTTTTACTGAGATGAATCAGTAGGTTATTAATAAGATAAATTTGCATTACATACTTTAACGTGATTAAAAAAAAAAACTTACGTTCTGTCACCTTTAATAAGATTCTTAATATATTTTAAATCATCTGTGCTTAAATCAACTGAATGTGATTCCATTCTATCATAAAGACGATTAAACATCATTACAGACCCATCTTCATGTTTCCAACTATATGTATGATAAATTTTTTATGATACTAGGCATACAATTAAGCGATTGACAACGCTATTTTATCTTAAACCTACTTTAATCCTGGTGCAATTTTTGGAATAACTTCATTATCAAACACATGACTAAATGGCCCATGCCCTGTTAAATGAATATAGATGAGTGATGAATATAGATGAGGGTCGCAAAGTGAAAACCTGTAACTCGTACTATGATCAGTTATAGGCTTTCACTATGCAATACTCAAATAATAATTAACTGCTTGCGTTATAACTTTAATTTTATTTTGCAGTAATAAATGAATTCATGCTCACCTAAGTCATGACACAAACCAGCCAAAGTTACACATTCAAGATCATGTTCATTTTTTTCAATTCTTTGTTGGTCGTGTAATTTTTTGGTTAAGGTATAAGCAAGATGCGCAGTTCCTATAATGATTTGACTTTTCAACACTTTTATTTATGTGATACAAACCTAATAAAAAATCTTATTTTTACCTAGACTGTGTTCAAAACGATTGTGACATGCACTTGGAAAAACGTAATAGGAAGTTCCTAGTTGCTTAATATCTCGTAGTCTCTGGAATTCTTCTGTATCTATAAATTCCACTGCCCACTTTTTAAACGTGATATACCCCTATTAATAAACAAATGTTAATTAACTTTCTTGATTGTTTATTATTATGAATAAATTTACATGAATAGGATCCCTAATAATCTTCTCCTGTTCCCACTCCGCTTGCTTCTGCTTCCCTTTCCTCTGCTTCCTTTTATCCGGCTTTCCTTGCTCCAGCGACATTGTAAATAGTGGTTAAAGTCGTGAACTTATATTTATTAATACTGTATGCAGGCGTATTTAAGGAATATACTACGTAATCGGAGGATTGAATCCCTAATAGAATCACTAAATTTAATTTGAACCCTTATTTGTTTTCTTTTTATTTGTCTGACGAATAATTAAGGTGTTATAATTTGATTTGATTTATTGGGGTCTATTCTGCACAATTCTGCATGAAGGATGCATTAAACTTATTAAATTATCTTTAAACCCGTTAGATTATCGTCTAACTTGCTGTCTGAAACATCTAACTTGACAATGCTATTGTTATGAGTAAAGTCAAAAATCAATCTTTAGACTCGACTTTCACTGACAGGCCACTTAACCAGTATCACATTAGGTAACAATTCATTTACAATATATACTTGCAACGAATTATTATCCTGTGTGACGCCGGTTTAATGATCTTTTAGCAAACGATTGTCGAAGTGAGGTGATACTACGTTGTGAAAGATGCCGAGGCAACTCGGATCAAGTCTCGAGTCTACCAAATATAATTGATATGGCAGGTCGGGTGCATTTAGTGTACAGTGCAGGAAGTCTAGAAATTCAATCACTTTAAAAAGGATAATAAAGACAACAAATTCATTAAAGATAAACTAAACTTATCATTCTCAATAACGGCTAAGTTTAGCAGTATGTATATAAATAGTCTGCTTTTGAACATTTTGTTTTTTTACGTATTGTTCCTATGCGAAGAGGCTGAAGAATCAAGAATTCCCGCATTTTATAACTTAGGAAATTTATTTTTAATGAGCTATAGTTTAAACACAATCTCTATATAAGGATATAGAGATTTTTAGACTCCTGCACTACACGTATACGTAATGTACATAGCGAACAAATTTAACATATGTACATAGTTAAACCTAGTAAACATAGCACATTTATTTAACCAACCAATAGTGAGTTGTAAAATTTTCGCTCTAATCCCCGCTAAGTAAATCTATATTGACGATAGGAATTAGTGACTAAATCCAATTGACCATGATTACTAAACCAAGTTTCTTCGTTATTAAGGTTTGGTTAAAGTAATGTGAATGACTTTAGTTTAGTGTTTAGTTTTTAATTTTATTTTTACTTTATTTTTTTAATTTTTTTTACAAAATCTTGCAATTGATTGGATATTATATTGAATTGTGTAAGGGCGTGAGTGCAGATTTGATTTCTCACATGCCACTCGTCACCGGCTTCATATATTCAATTGTATCTAAATTTGGATAACGCATCTATGGCGTGCATTTATTTGTGCGAGTGATACAAATCTAAAAAAGGAAATTAGCCAATCGAATAACATAAGAAGTGATTTGCGCAAAGCGAAGAAAACAAGAAAAAAACGAAAATACAAGAAAACGAGTGGTTAAACCCGTCTTGGAGGCTAATTAAAAATGACGGGAATGAATTTTTACATATAGGAGATGATTATTTATTTTTATCGTCTCTAACTTTAACGTTCTAACGAACTTTGCTTATTTTTACGTCACTCGCACAAATAAGTAAATCAGCATTTGCGTACCTACGTATCCTCACCCAATGTAGGGAAGGCCTAAAGCCGTGTCCAGTCGTACGAACTTGATTTTTTTAAGATTAAAGTTAGGGTAAGGGGTTAGGATTAAGGCATGTTTTATAGTAAAATTGTCTTTACGACATTTTGTTTTGTCTCTCATACGCTTGTGATTTTTCATGAAAAACATACGGGTTTTATTCCTTTCGCAATCGAGCATCCTACGCAAAAATACAAAGCATCGCTTTTTCTTCTTTTTTTTTTTTTTTAATAAAATGACTGTCGTCCCGACAGGCCATAACTTGTAAGGGAAAAACTAACCTATATTAGGTTATTCAGATCAATACAAAAACATTTTAATGACTGTCGTCACGACAGGTCATTCATAAAACTTAAACTACACGAAAACATTGCTTTTAGTAGTCATGGGTAGGGCGGGAGGGATCGACAAAACCAGACTAAAAGTCGGGTTCGCAAAAGAAATAGAGTTACCTCTATCTCTATTCAATACAAAATACTTAAATACTCAAATCTAATAAACTCACAAGACGTCATTATTACTGATCAGAATATACTAAACATACTGATCGTAACAATTACCACATACTACTATAAAGTCTATTACATTACTAAAATGATCGTCATACTAGACACGTCACCACAAAACTACCCATGTGACTGTAATAGGGCATGTCACCTGCCTAGTTACGGGCTGATTCGAGACAAAAGCTGCCTCGATACTCACGTATCGAGCAGCTTTATTTTATTTTTAAATCAAGATGGCTTTAGACTTTTGTTTCTTGTATTTTTTTGCGATTTTCACTGTTTTTGTCTCTTCGGGCTAATTCGCGTCGATCAAAATAAACACTACCCCAGTATCGCCTAATTTACAGTCACTCGTAAAAATTTTTTTAAAAAATGTTTTTTTTAATGATGACAAAGTTCACCATTAGTAAGTCTAAAATGTATTACATGGTTAAAATTCCCTTTATTGGCTAAAAAAAATTCAATTGTGAACGTGCAGCAGAAATCGGCATAAAATTTATATAAACTTGTAGCTTTTAAACACACTTTCAAGATCTAAAAATGGTTTTCAAAGATCTTTTAATCAGCTTGACTTTACATAAGACCACTTTTTAATAAATATAATTCAGGAGTGCTTTCTAAATCGATAGGATCACTGAACAATCATGAACTATAAATTATCACGAGTTTTATTAACATGATCTCGACCAATAAATGGATTTTTAACCATGCTGAAATGTACTTGCTTTTATAAAAAAAAAATGTTTATTCTATTTCTGTATTTACACAATGTGTATATATTTTATACGTATCTACTGTATCATTTTCTTGATTGCTTATATTCCTTACGTTCGCTAATTTAAATTAAGAAAAACACAGCTTAATTAAAGTTTATATGATTATCTTATGCTTTTTTTTTTCTTATAAACCATTTGATATGGATAGAGTTCGATTTTTTTTCCTAATACAGTCAAACTCTTCAAGTATACGTATACTTTTTAATTGACCTCTGCTTCCTACATAAGCATCAAATTTATTGTCTTGACTTATACAGTATATGCACTCTCTATAAGCGAATGCAATTGATTTAATTAACTTTAATCAAACTACTATTTATTTTTTAAAATGTCTTTTACCTAATAATAAAAAATAATATATTTTATTTAAAAATATTATACAGCAATGGTAATGTAATAGTTAAGGTTTAAAAAATGATTGAATTGATACAGACCAAATTTACGATGTCGAGAAACATATATTTAAATATAAATAAAACACAAATGACATAAATATTTAAGTTTATTTATACAAATAATATTAATACATGGATCAACGTTAATTAAAGAAAACAGAATTTCAGGTTTTGATTTTCAAGGCTAAATTGATTTATTAGTTCAAAAGCCTGAAGTCTAGCTTTCTTTTAATAATACTCAAATACAATGAAAGGTTTCGCTTTGTTTATTGCTTTTGCACATTAGTATATAAGCCACGTGCTGTGCTTAATGGCCACACACAAAATATTTTGATTCACAAATTTGGCTCAGTCTTTCCAAAGCTTAGAGGAGTTGAACCTCGCAGTGCTTGACCTTCAGGAATTTTAGCTTTATTAGGTGTTTTGCTGAAGTTTCGCCATTTTGCCAGAGTTTTGTCGTTTCGCAGAGTTTTGCCAGTTTTGACTTTTGCCCAGTTTAGTTTTGACTTTTTTGTCATTTACCAAAAATAGTTTTGCCTAACAACAATACTCATATCATGAGCATGATTATAAGAATTATTTTGTCTCGAATATCTGTATTAGTCCGCATATCATTCAATTTATCACGAATTTCAAGAATATTAGAGCATAGATTTGGACCACCATTCCAAGCACTGCAATAAATTTTTATAAAGTCAACCGGAATTCCATTAACAGGAGTTTCTTTTTATTAACCCTCTACAATTTTTTGCTGTTGATCGTTTCTAATAAAAGACAATGATCAACTATGTAACTTCTTATTTCTTGTTATTCGTTGGTTGTGCTCCTGCCCGTGATCAGTCACCTTTCCTTTTTTGCTGATGCGATAAAGATTTTCGTCAAAAAATTATATACGTATATGTTCTATATGAACAGATTGGATCTATTTTGAATGATCAGATTGATTTGAACAGTTGGCACTTGCTAAAATCCGCCAATCGGAATGTATTTTATAGCGAAATGCTTCTTTGATCTACATCCATTTAAAAAAAGTATTATTCAACATGTCAAAATGGACTCGGTCTGGACTAGTGATGACGAAATGATGAAACCTGAGGCAACCATAAGTTTCGACAATGACGAAACTTGACAAGACTTATGATTGCCTCAGGTTTCATCATTTTGTCAGGCTCCCGAAACTTTAGTAAACACCTTAACATGTAGGTTTCGTTCAATAAAAGTTAATATGAAGTTAAGTAAGTCAAATTTCCTGAGTTATCATATTTAGTTGTAAGACAAATTTCATCTAGTTTAGATAGACTCAGTTCATATTTATTTAACTCGAATCCATTACCGTTACTGTTACTATTGTATTATGCGTATTATTATGATTCGTCATCATTAAGCAATAATTGAACACAATTAATCACTAGAAAACAACTAGTATAAAATAACTCTTGTTATATCAAAGACATGTATACGTTGCTTACCATCGAAACTATCACAAAAAAAAAAAAGAAGCCGTGAATATTTCTTGTAAAAGGGTCCATACCAAGCACTTTTATTATTTCCTATATCAATTTCTAAAATGATTTCTCAAATTGAAACATTTTTTTCAGAGGTAGAAACATTAATTGAATTTCAGTTAAGTAACGGAATTCAAATTCAGGAGCAAGAAATTAAACAAAAATTTACTGAAGGGAAAGCTTTAATTGATAAATTAGAAGAGGAAGATGAAGAACAACATGGTTTTTATAAACTTCGGTATCATTCAACATATGCAAGTTATTTAAAAACCATTAATAAGGTAAATGAGGCTGCCAAGCAAGAAAATTTATTGGAAAAATATAAACAATATGGATGAAAGAGAGTAGATATCGATGAAAATGAATCCATAATGTTTATAGATGATAAATCAGACAGTCAATCCTCTGATTCTGGCAAAAAAGACCTAGAAGAAGCAATAAGAAAAATACTAAGAGTAGATATTTTAGGAGAGATGGCTATTGAATCTATCAGAAAACATTTTGAAAATTTAAATGAAATACCAAAAACCTTTGAAGATTATTATAAACTCGTCAGTTGTGAGAATTCTTTGTTCAATTCATTAAATGTTTTAATTAATGAAGAATTAATTATTCTGGATCAACTTAATGAGGGTGATGGCAAATCAAATCAATCAGAGATTGAACAAAAAATGATGAAAGTACGTGATCGTTTAGTAGTTTTAAAAGATTTAAAAGAATTTGCAAGTCAGTTCATTAGTCAAACAGTTTATCAAAGAAAGTTAGATTTTATACACAATACATTAAATTCACCTAATAAGAAAGCTATTTTATTTAGCAATATCTTATTTACAAAAGACGGAATCAATAAACGTTTTAGAGAACTTGCATCGTGTTTTCATCCTGATAGTTCCAATATTTCGAATAGGCTACACAAAGACGACCAATATCTCTGTGCAGAGCTCTTTAAAAATTCTAGAAATTAAAGAAAGTTTATTGGATAACTTGGAAAATACTTCAAGAGACAAAGGTGTGATTTACTTTCATGAAAAAAAGGCAAATACGAATTGCAATATTGCGAATGACTATCGTAGTGCCTATAATAATAATTGGAATAAACTAAAGATATTAAATAAAGAAGATACTAAAGAAATTCCTCATAATGAACTAAAACGCTTAAGCGTATATTATGGAACATTAGCTCACGGGGAATATCGTGCTGCTTGTAAGGTTGCAGATACAACTGGTGAATTAAAAAAACAAATAAAACTACGAGGAAGCATGGCAATATGTTTATATATCTGTGACCACTTTCTGGAAGCTCAACAATACGCTTTATCAGCAATTCGATTAATTTATCAACATTCTAAGGATGTCTCTAAGGAAGAACTAATCGAAGCGAAAAAAATATTTGATAAAGTTAAAGGTGTAAAGTCTCAATTAAATACAGATATTAAACTGAAAAATGAATTAGGTAATTCACAAGCTTTAGTTAAAGTAGTAAAAGATGGCATGTCCTTTTTAGAAATGAACGCAATTCAAAGTTCTATCAACGATGATTTAAGAAAGATATCGGCTGAATTAATGTTTAAACCAAATCGTCAAATTGTTAACTATCAAGCCTCTGAAAGAAATATTTTACACACCAAAGAATTCACTATAAGGCATAGAATCGCTGGAGCTGTAACATTAGCAAGTGCTGCACTGGGAACAACATTAACAGTCGTAGGAGGAGTGGCATTGTTTCCTGCCACATTAGCAGTCGTAGGAGTAGCGGCATTGTTTCATGTCACAATAATTCCAGGATTATCTCTATTAGCGTTAGTTTACAGCGTAAACACATGGAGACAAGGTACCCAACTTTTAGGTGAACCAAAATTCGTGAAAAGCTCAATCAAATTATAAAAGATGCATTAGCTGCTTATGATGAAGGAGACTATCAAAAAGTTTTCAATTTGCTTTCTGAGGAATACAAAAAGGATACAAGTATCATAAATTTAAAAGGTCGTTATGATAATATTAATCCTGAAAGTATAATAGACTCACTTTTAAGCCATGGTTTTAGATCTGATGGCATTGCCTATTTGTTAAATTTGATAGGTGAGGTGTTAAGTAGTGGAAAAATAAAGATTCCAGGAATCGATAGAACACGAGATGATTTAAATGCGATCGGGAAACGTGTCTTTGAAGGTGCGCTAAACGAAAAACTTGTAAAAGAAGCTAAAGCATTGGATAATCGTGTTCATACATTACGAAAAGATGATCTTAAAGGCAAAGCTGAAAGTATTTTCCATAATTATATAGACATTTTATTTCTTAAATCGTATAGTGAGTTAGCAAAAGAATATATAGATAAAGAAGATAAACATGACGCCAAAAAAATGCCTTTTCAATCAAGACTAGAAGAAATGCGTAATATCTCAAAACTCAACCTCGCAATATTTGATATATTGAATACTGACAAGGCAGCAATTACGAGAGTAAGCAATACTGTTAAAGAAATTAGAGAATCAATAAGCGGTAATTATCAATTTTCAGGTTCAACTGAATCACGCCTCGAAGTTTTAGAAGATTTTTTGTGGATTATGAGCGGTGAAGTGCCTAGAACTCCTTCAGTTTATTCTATAAAACCAGCTGAAGAACGATCAACTGAAAAACGTGATAACAAGTACAATGAATATTTAAAAGAAAAATTAGAAATGGTATTCGAAAATAATGAAAGAATAGGTCTTCATACTAAATTGGCTGACTGCCATGTGAAATTGGCTGAAGAATATAAAGTCAACTTGTTAAGCAGTTTACGTCACTGGCAAGATGCCCAAGAGCATTATGAAAAAGCACGTGAAATAGACCCCAAGAATCAATATGCAACACTTGGTTTTGCAAAATGCTTATTAAATTTATCACAATATAATCGGCTTGTAAAACTTTTTGATACAAACCCAGATTTAACTTCATCGGCCGAGTATTGGCGATTCTGTAGTATCGCTTCTTGTAAACAAATAAAATACGATAAATCCAGCGAATGGATTCTTGAAGCATTGAGACTAGATCCTCAAAACATCTTAGCTATGAAACAGAAGGAACATCTTGATAGACTAAAAGAGTATAACGTCGAAGATCGTATTAATCATTACAATAAAAAAATATTTGACGTAGATAATTTAATTAGCAATTCACATCGTAGTAATGAGAATTCAGTTTATAGAATCCTCTCGATTGATGGTGGTGGTGTGCGTGGCATATTACCTGCCTTATGGCTCAGTGAACTAGAATATCGTGCACGTAAACCCATTTATCAACTATTTAATATGATAGCTGGAACCTCTACAGGTGGAATTATTGGTGCTGGCCTTTCAATGCCGCGTCAGAATTCAAGCCTAAATTCACCTTTATTAGCTACAGATTTATTGGAATTATATCAAAACCAAGCAAAATCCATGTTCACCGGTACAACATGGAACATCTTTGCGACAACAAAATATACAGATGAAGGACGTTCTTTAATATTTAACAAATATTTTGGAAAAATTCGGTTAAATGAATCACTCACTGAGTTGGTTATTCCTGCGGTAAACAAAGACAACATGCAATCATACTCGTTTACACGCCGTGACTCAATTAATAATAATTCAAATGACACACTTTTTGATATCCTAATGGCCACAACTGCTGCACCCACTTTTTTTCCTCCTTACAAAATGAGAAATAAGGGTATTTTCGTAGATGGAGGTGTACAACTTAACAATCCTGCACTTACAGCTTACAATGAAGCCATTAAATATAATAAAAATATCACAGTGCTTTCTTTGGGTACAGGTAGTTATATACCAAATCCTTTACGTCCTGATTTATATTATGGCCAACTTTTTTGGGCGAAAAAGTCACGCAATGATACACAAGGATATAATGACGATAGTTTAATGTACGATATGCTGGGAGATTGTTATCAACGATGGCAAATTTTGTTAGACAAACCCGTAGCATTTGATGATTACAATAGTATTTCTTCTCTCTTAGAATTAGGACATCAATATATAGAAGAACTCGATGCTTCAGATGAAAACCCCATAAACGTATTAGTAGAATCTTTCTCTTAAGTTTGTTAATCTGCTTAATATCTTAAATAACATTTCATAATATTTTCTTGTTAACAATAGCGTATTTTGTATTGCTTATTATTATACATTTGCATAAACTTCCTTTTCTAAAGCGAAATGAATTCAATAGATGTATGTAAACTGATACGTACTCGTACACAAAAGACAGTTTCATATGTAATATTTTAAGTTACAACTGCTTTTTTTTGCGTCTCGTTTGTGTCACACATTATCTTGAAATCTGATTGGACAGTGAAATTTTTAACAGCTAACCCACGTGATTTTTCCAGCACGTGATTTTTGGCCAATTAGATCGAAGGATCAGGTGTAACGTAAAATCAAATTAGGCGAAGGAGTTTAAAGTAATAAGCATCATCTTTAGAGTTATGATTAAGGATAAAAAAGGTTGTGGCTTACATTAAAATTTCACGAGGAATTTTTTTATTAGAACGCAGAAGGCAGTTTCATAGGTAAAATTTCGAGGTAATAGCGATTTTTTAAAAAGACGTGATTTTCACGTTACACCCGATCCTTCAATCTAATTGGCCATGGTCATGTGCCAGAAAAAATCTTGTGGGTGGCTACAAGGGTTTTTTCGACACCTATTGTCACGGGTTAGTTGGTCGAGTTCAGAGATGGCACAAGGTCAAGGCGATCGTTATGAAGCGTTACAAGATAAGTACAGAGATTTTTTAAAGAGCGTTATTGTATTGGCGTAAGCATAGCGAACTTAAAATCTGATTGGATGGTTGATCAAATGTTACACAAGTATGTTTTATATATGTATGTGCAGAGCTTAATGAAACGAAGTTAGGTAAGAAAAGTGATTTTGTTATAGTTATATTAAGAATTATTTTCTTATACAATCAAATTTTTTTAGAATTAATTCCTCTTAGTAAGAGGATCAAACTAATGGTAGGGGTATTATACACAAGACAATGGGTATATAGTAAAAAGCCTATTTTAGATCCAGAAGAATTTAAAAAAATGCTTGAGAAGGCTGAACCATTATTAAAAGATTTTTTTAATCAATTAGTAATTGGAACTAATCTGCAATCTAAAAATAATATGACTAACGAAAAAAATAAGAAAAGATTAGTTTCGTTTTGTTACTTTTTAGCAGGACTTAATAACAAGTTTATTAATGAAATTAAAGTGAAGGTGGGATGCTTACTGAATGCATCTGGAACTTCTTCTTCAGCAATAGAAACCTTAGCTGGTGCAGGCTTATCGGTACAGCATATAACCGTTGCAAAACAGAAAACTTAGCATTCAGAAGGGCATGTGACAACAGTAAGAAAATTTTTAATTAATAATGTAAGTTCATAAATATTTCTATAGGTCTTGTTATATAATAATTAATCATATATTTTTTTAATAGAATGAAAATTTAGTAGTTCTTAATGTAGATGATTTTTACAATATCTATGAATATTGCCGTAGTGATGTAACAAGTACTCATAATATTTTGCACTTTGTTACAACACTTTTAAAACCCCTGCCAGAGGTGGCACCTATCCCGTTTTACAATCCTGATGATCAAGAAAAATGTGTTCATAATGAAGGGGGTATTGATGCAAATATTATTATATCAAATGCTTACCTATTTTTCTTCCCTCATTTATGGCTTAGTTACACAGGATGAAAACAAGCATTTGCCGATTTGGCATTCACATCAGAGACTCATGATGAACGTGTTGAGCGTCTTTTAATTCATAGCTATGATGATAGAATTGAACAACATCGCAATGATCAAAATATGGAAGATACAAAATTAGTTGATCTAAAAGTAGGGTCTCTTAAAGCAACTGAAGACTATGTAAATGTGGTAAAGTTATTAATAGATATATCTGAAATAAATGCCTATATGAAAACACAGGTGTTAGTAGCACCTATGGACTATCCCAGACAACTTCATGTATGGTGTGCTATTACCCATAGCATTCAAGATATAAATTCTGAAATACTAAATTAAATTTTGCGCATTGTTCTAATGATTGGACCATTGCATGTATCCTTGAACTGTCTGAAACTGTGTTTTTGTTAAATTATGTATTCTTTGAAAAACTTTTTCATAATATATTTGAGGAAAATAAGGTACTGGCCAAAAAGCCAAAGCCTTATAAAATTAACTTACTTTTAGAGCTAGCATCGCAGTGTTGGGCTTGAGTACATTTACTAATTTTACGGAAATTTGAATGTTCTAAAGATGTAGAAGCCAGATATCTTATTAACTTACTCGACAATATCATTCTATTGGTTTTAGATTTTTACCTGGTCATATTTCGTAGTGGAAATTGGATTGCTTACAAAGAAGCCATGTTTCACATTTGGATGGTTTTTCATCAATATCAGTGTTGACATTACAACAAACTACCATTAGCGTTTTTAAGTAATATTTTTTTTGGTCTAATACTAATCATCCAATTTCACATGTTATTTCAGATTTTCTTTACATTTTCAATGACTATTATGTGGAAAATTTTCACAGTTTGCTTCGACGGCAAATACAAGAATCAAATACAGCTGAATAGATTATTCAACAAGCATGATCAATCAATCAGATGTGCAGTGAAAACTTATTTACTAATACATTTTCTGAGAACCATAACATTAGATATTCAGCTAAGCAATTAGAATATCTTGAAAAAAATGCTGCACTTTTCTTTTTAGATATTTTTACAGATATATATACAAATATCGGCAAATCGAAACCTATTTTATTTGATGAAAATTCTGAAGTCACATTATATGAACTTCCAACACTGAACGTTGAAGTTGATATAAAAGTTTTACCAATGGCTTGGAATACAGCACATATTCCTCAGGTAAATAGGCATTGTGATTTGGAAAGCTGTGTTAATTCTTATGAAGTAGGTTGTATTTTGGTTTGTGGACATGCTTATCACTTCGAATGTTTTTTATTTACTTTAGAGAGTCAATGCCAATATTGTGCCAATTATCTTATTCGTGAAATTAAAAAAAATTGTAAAATGTTCCAGAAAACTTTAGAGTCTACTGGCAAAATAAAGGCAGATATAGAAGAGGCAAAAAATAAGAAAACTAATGATAATACGAATATCAGTGTTAGTTTGCCTTGGAGAGTAATATAGATTTACAGATTGAAAATGCTATAAATGCTTTGGTGGGTGTATAATTAGGCGGGTGTATAATTAATGGTGTAGTAGACAGAGTGCAAAATGAAAAACATTCATTATTTTATATAAAAATTTTTTTAAATAAAGATGTATGTTTTAATAATAAAATTGCAATTTTAAATATTTATATAATTTTAATTGTAAAATTTTTTTAATAATTATGATGCAATAAAGATAATTGGTTTTTTTTTATTATGCATTATTTTATTGATTAATTATATTTCAGAAAAATTAATCAGATGATCTACAAAAATTAGCCAATCCTGTCAAAAGTTTGCTATGCTATTGGTGTATAGTTGTTAGGTGAAACCTAGAGGTTTCACAAAAAAAAAATCAAAAAAAGACAAAATGTCAAAACTGGCAAAACCTAGAGAAATTGAAGAAACCTAGTGAAACACTAAAAACATAGCATAACAAAATTGTTACTGCAGATTCAGCTACATCTCTGACCTTAAAATTTCTGGTCCAGCATCAGTAAAATTATGAGATCTTGTGTAACAAACCAACTAGCAAAAACAGCAAAAAAATAAAAATTCTTAAATAGTGCCAAATTTTATTATGCTAGCCAAATTTTATTATACTAACCAACTTCTGACTTTTAATTAAAAATGCCTATATCAAAATTTACATATAGCATTTACTCTTTCTCATCAGATATAGATAGAATACTTGAGATACTTCAACCCAAGTATTTGATCATAAGAGTCTGTTTTTCGCTTGACATAAGGGTACTCAGCAGATTCTTGATTTATTAGCTAAGAGCAATGGTAAATAAATTTGACTGAAATTACTCAAAATTTTACTAATGAAATTATAACTGCTTATTAAATGAAAATTGCTTCTGGGCTAATTTTACCATTTTGTAGATTTATTTCTTTGAAAATTTCTATTTTAAGAATCAAAAGGTTAAAAAACTTAATTCTGGTCAGAAATTAGTAAACAGTTATATAATGTGGGTCAAAACTTTGCAGATCTATGCTTATTAACCAATCAAAATTGAGTATTTGAAAAGACAACAATGTGATTATATTGAAAAAATTGGTTCGCAATTTAGTTTAGGATTAGGATCCCACCAGTAGATTGATATTTATTTAATGGATTATAGTTATAATAAAATTTTTCAAGAGAATTTTTTTGTTAGTACCTAGAAGGCATTTTTATAGACAAAATATTGAGCTATTAGTGTTTTTTTGGTTTGATTTTTTGCAATTTTTTACATTACATGAGACCTTGAAATCTGATTGACTAGCAAAGTTTTTTTGAAAATTTTTGCTGACTATAAACCTGGCATACATTCAAGAATTACTTCAATTATGGCATTATGTCATTTCTAGCAATATGGCAATATAGCATTACAACAGATAATATTTATAGCATTCAGGTACTATATCATATTTAATTAATATCATAATTTAATAATTCTACTACCAACTATAGCTCTAACTCTATACTTACACACAACATATATATAATTACATTAAAATTTTTGTTATATATATAATGTCTATTATTGACAATCAAATTTTACTATTATAGATAAATAACTGAGGTTTAAAACTAGCTAAAGAGTATTAGAAAATAAATTTTAATCATAATAATGTTAATAAACTACTTACATATATATGTTTTTTAATGAAATGTTAAAAAGAAAAAAATAACAATTTAATAATAAAGTTATTTAAAATTTTTTTTTTTTTTTTATTTATATAATATCATAGTAGAAACTTTAAAATACAATAAGAAATTTAATTACAGAAAA